TGGACAGACTCCTCTTGTAACTTGTCCGGAATTCTTGGGTTCCTACTCCAGGCGTGGACAGACTCCTCTTGTAACTTGCCCGGAATTCTTCACTTGAGACCCAAATGTTCCCAGTGTCCAGGGTTCTAGATTCTCAAACTGCTTTACACCAAAAGCCCTTACAAACTGTTTCCATTGGTGTAAAGTCAACCTTCTCCCCAGCTGGGTTGCTTTGATTTTGAAAAGAGCCCTAGCTAACTTAAGCCAAGTCCTGAGTAAGGCGTTGAACTGCCCTGGGGGGGGATGAGACGTCCCCCCACCTGAGCGGCCGACTCGCCGGTACCGGAGTGAGCATGCGCACTGAATGCCACGTCCTCCGTGGTAGCAGCGCAGCGAGGGGTCTAGTGAGCCTGCGTCCAGGCGCTGGACCTGTGCTGTGTGCGTAATCCCATGCTCTCTCTCTCTTTTTTTTTTTTTTTAGATTTTATTTACTTGACAGAGACACAGCGAGAGCGGGAACACAAGCAGGGCGAGTGGGAGAGGGAGAGAAGCAGGCCTCCTGCTGAGCGGGGAGCCCGATGCGGGGCTCGATCCCAGGACCCTGGGATCATGACCTGAGCCGAAGGCAGACGCTTAACGACTGAGCCACCCAGGCGCCCCATAATCCCGTGTTCTTACCGGGCGTCCCCATCAATGCCAAGCTGGCCATCCTTTCTATGGGAAAGGGAAACCCTGATGCCAGATAGTAAGCCCTTATAGTCATTAACTTGAAATCTCATGGTCGCCATTTTTATAAGCACAGGGCAGTCATTCCCATTTCTTGTCATCTGTTATTTGTAACTAGAGTTTGTTCTTTTTCTGGTTTAGATTAAGTAGGTCCTTACTCACCACCATAAGCAAAAGATTAGATACACAACTGCATTCTGTAAGAGTCTGGAATTGTTTGTTAAAGCCAGCATTCCCAAACTTAACCCTTCAAGATGTTGAGTCATGGATTGGAAGTCTCTAAACTGACATGATGATCTCAGCCCCAAATAAGGGACTCCTTAAGCCCTTCCCAGTAACTCTCAGATGTGACTGGAAATATTTCTTCCCTACTCCCAACATTTCCCTTCTATGAAGGGTGCTAATCGGTGTAATCCTTGATCATTTGCTGGCCCTAGAGACCGCTAAATGTGGGGAGCATAAGAGTCATGCCCACCCCATCCCTCTTTGGTAGGCGGGCTTTATCTGAGGAAAGCACACGTTTTCCTCTACTCCCGCATGGCATAAATTGTGCAGGGCCTATTCCCACAGGGAGAAGACCGCCTCACTCTAATGCTGACTTGAAGTGAATGGTTAAGTCTGCCTAATTTTGGTGTTCAATATTAACATGACCATTTAGCTAATAGTCTTTAAACCATATCTGCTATATTTTGTGATATTTTGGTCTCCACATTTTCTGGTGTTTTCTTTTTCCCATCTTGTCTAAAAGACACAAAAGGAAGAGGGTTTGTTTTGTTTTTAATGGGGGGGCAGAAACTTATGTATATAACATACCATTAGGACTTTAATGGAAAATAGGCATGTATTAATAGGCTTAGAGACTTTACAGATGCCTAGAAATAAATCTGCATTGTTATATCCTAATGACTAGAAGCATTCACCTGAAGGAGATTCTCTATACATTCAGGACTATGCTATAGACATAACTCAGCATTAGTATATTGAAAAACCAATAACAGTAGACAAATGATCCATATTTTAACCATAGTGCATTACAGAAAACCAGTACGCAAAAGAACCAACTTAACACAGATTGTACTTTCCCATAGATATGATGTTAGAGCTAGATGTTGTAATCCTACCTTGAAGACAGTATCAAATAAATCAGAGATCTGGTCACCTAAATCTATTCAAATATTAATTTTTTAAGATGCAGGTTAAAATTATCTCTTCTAGGACCTTCACTGTGTTCCTTGAGTCAAATGAGCCAAGATTTTTTCCTTTATCAGCCCCTTCCCAAGAGAGGCATCTTCCTTTCTGCCTGCTAGTATCACACCTGCCTTCCTGGTTGCTCGAACTGTAATTTCTCAACTTTCCACTATCTGGAAAGTGACAGGTAATGAAGAAGTTGTTGGTTGTTTAACTAACTCTCTACTACAGTGGAATTGCTTTGTTTTGTTTGTTTGTTTTTAGAAACTAATGCATTTTTTTATTTTACTGTGTTTTGTTAGTCACCATACAATACATCATTATTTTTTGATGTAGTGATCCATGATTCATTGTTTTCATATAACACCCAGTACTTTGAATTCCACTTTTTAAGTTCCACCATCGAACCTTAGAGTCACAGTTCCCAAACTGTGCACCAAGGCACAGTGATCTCAGGTGTTTTAAATTTTTGAGGAAAACATTATAATATTTGATATCTTTCAGACACAGCACCAACTCCTAGCTTGAGATAGTTCATACTTTCGACATTAGGTCACACTCTATTGCTTTTGATGAGGTTCACATCTTTGCAAAGCTAAGTTTTGGATAGTTGCTATGATAAAAAACAAGTATTTCATGAAAATCAACATGGAACACAAAGTGAAGGTAGTTCAGTCTGATTCCAAAGTTTGAGAAACTGAGAATTGCCAAACAGATACCCATATCCCATTAGTAAGTAACTGTGGGTTTTAAAGAATTTTTCATAAATTTTTAATTCATATATACTATTTTTTTTCAAATGGCTATTAAGTTGTTGAGTATAAATACGGGTTGTTTGGACCTAACTACTTAGGGTAAAAAAATGAAAAAGAAAGATACAAATGTAGGGATCCGAAGGAGTATGTGCACCCCGATGTTTATACCAGCAATGTCCACAATAGCCAAACTGTGGAAAGAGCCCAGATGTCCATCGACAGATGAATGGATAAAGAAGATGTGGTATACATATACATATATATGTATATATATATATATGTATATATATATATATATGTATATATATATATACAATGGAATATTATGCAGCCATCAAAAGGAATGAAATCTTGCCATTTGCAATGACGTGGATAGAACTGGAGGGTGTTATGCTGAGTGAAATAAGTCAATCAGAGAAATACATGTATCATATGACCTCACTGATAGGAGGAATTCTTAATCCCTGGAAACATACTGGGGGTTGCTGGAGTGGTGGGGGGTGGGAGGGATGGGGTGGCTGGGTGATAGACGTTGGGGAGGGTATGTGCTATGGTGAGCGCTGTGCATTGTGCAAGACTGTTGAATCACAGACCTGTACCTCTGAAACAAATAATACATTATATGCTAAAAAAAAGAAGAAGATAGTAGGAAGGGAAAAATGAAGGGGGGAAATCAGAGGGGGAGACAAACCATGAGAGACGATGGACTCTGAGAAACAAACTGAGGGTTCTAGGGGGAGGGGGTGGGGGG